GAACAGATTAGTATTGTCAGATCTAAGGTTGAAAAATGGCCTGTGACTGTTTGAATGATGACAACACAAAGAGAGGATCAAGTGGATATGAAGTGTCAGATAGACACTGGTGTTTCATGCAACATCATAAGCTTCACAGAACTGTGTGAAGTGCCTTGAAATTGTGAGCCAAAATTGAGTCCTCAAGGATAAGGCTGAACCTTTATGATGAAACAAAGCTCAATCCAAGAGGCCAAATGAAGATGAGAGTCTAATGTAATGGGAAGAATGAGGATATGGCATACAAGATAACCGAAGGTAAGTAAAATCCACTCATCTCTGCTGAAACAAATTTAAATGTTGGATTGGTAACTCTGCATGTACCAGAAGAAATTTTCAGCATTCCACAGGCCACAAAGCCATCCACTGCTGGAAAAAAAATCCTAGAAGATGACAAAGTTTTTTTTTATAGATCTCAAATTCTTCTAGGTGAATATCAGCTTAAAGTAGATGAGTGTGTGAGACCAACTTAGCTTTTACTGAGGGGAGTTCTAGTTGCCTTCAAGTTGAGCCTGAAAAACAAGACAATGGAGCTGGCAAAGCAGGGAGTAACCCAGAAGTGACAACTGCTACAGACTGGGTTAGCGGCATGGTATCAGTGAAGAAACTTGAAAAACCGAGAGTAAACATTGATCCAAATACCTCAATATGCCAGCCATTGAAGAATTTCTGCTATAACATGACATGGCAAATTACTTCACTACTCTTAATGTTAGAGGTATGTGAATGTGGATAAAAGAAGCCGTTTTCAGACTGCATTCCAGGCACCATTTGGGACAAACAAATGGTTGTGTATGCCATAGAGTCATAGAGTCCTACAGCACGGAGACAGGCCCTTTGGCCCAAACTGGTCTGTGCTGACCAAAATGTCCATCCACACTGAGCCCATTTCCCTGCACTTGGTCCATATCCTTCTAAACCTTTCCTATCCATGTATTTGTCCAAATGCCTTTTAAATGTTAATGTACCTGCCTGAACCACTTCCGCCAGCAGCTCATTCCATATGCGTACCACCGTCTATGTAAAAAAAGTTGCCTCTCGGGTTCCCATGTATTCTTTCCCCTCTTACCTTAAACAAATGCCCTCCAGTCCTCCATTCCCCAACCTTGGGAAAAAGACTGAGTGTATTCACCCTATCCATGCCTCTCACGATCTTATATACTTCTATAAGATGCCCCCTCAGTCTCCTACGCTGTAAAGAAAAAAGTCCTAGCTTGTCCAACCTCTCCCTATAACTCAGTCCCTCGAGTACAGGCAACATCCTTGTAAATTTCTTCTGCACTCTTTCCAGTTTAATAACATCATTCCTATAGCAAGGTGACCAAAACTGAACACCATACCCCAACGTCATGTATAACTTCCCAACTTCTCTACTCAATACCCTGACTGATGAAGACCAGTGTGCCAAAACCTTTCCTCACTGCCCTGTCTACCTGTGACTGCACTTTCAGAGAACCGTGCACCTGAACTCCAAGGTCCCTCTCTTCCACTACAGTCCTTAAGGCCCTACCATTTAGCATGAAATTCCAACCTGGATTTGACTTTCCAAAATGCAACACCTCACACTTATCTATATTAAACTCCATTTGCCATTTCTCGGTCCATTTCCCCGGCTGATCAAGATCCTGCTGCAACGTTTTCATTTGTTAACATTTTCATTGCCCAAGAACAGTATCAACACAGCACGCAAGAGAGCTGGTGATTTTCCAAAATGGATATTATTGTGGATAATCTGCTAGTCTATGATATGGATATGCAATGGAAGAAGCCATCATAGACCACAATCTAATGACTACTAAACAAAGTTTGGCACATGAACCTGAAGCTGAGCAAGGAAAGATGGAATCGAAGACCTGAATCCAATTACACAAGTCATGTTCTGACAGCAAAGTGACTCCATGCAGATTCTGACAAAGTGAGAACTATAGCAGAGATGCAATGATTAAGCAACATGATGATTTGTTGGGTTTGTGAACAATTTAGCAAAGCTCTTGACTAATTTGCCATCTGAGCGTGAACCACCACTCAAAGGGATGATGGTGTCACAGTGGTAATCACCGAATCACAGAATCCCTATAGTGTGGAAACAGGCCATTTGGCCAATTGAGTCCACACCGATCCTCTGGAGAGCATCCGACCCAGACCCACCACCCTACCCTATCCCTGTAACCTTGCATTTCTCACGCCAATCCACCTGAACTGCTTATCTATGGACACCAGGTGAATGTTCTGGGGACATGGATTTGAGTCTTGCCATGGCAGTTGGTGAATTTTGAATTAAAGAAAAATCTGGAATTGAAAACCTAGTCTGATAGCAACTATGTAACCATGGTTAGTCATTGTTTAAAAAAAAAAGCTGATTCCCTCATCTTCTTTAAGAAGGAATCTGGCATCCTTATTTGGTCTGATCTACATGTAACTGTAGACTTATAGCAATATGGCTTACCCTAAGTGATTCCCACATCCCTTGACCAAATTAAAAGAAAATCTCACTATCAAAGACATGCAGTGGTATTAAGGCATAGAACAAGAAGCAGCTTTCACTAGAAAAGAACAATTTGTAATGTCAACACCAGTGCTCAGGTATTATAATGTCAATGATGAAGTCTGCTTTCAGCCCTTATGTAGCAAGAATACCAGCTGCAGTCATGTTCAGGGTAAATGAATAACTCTCAGATAGAGAAGGAGCAGTCGGCTGTTGTTTTGGTTGTGAGCTTTGTACTCAATAATACTTGTGTGGGAGAATCAAAGAGACAGTGGGATTCAACCTTTTCAGAGGTATCATCTGGATGTAACATTCAAGCACGAGAAACAGATATACATCGCTGATATCATATGGCCAAACATAAACCAAAAGATTAACAATCATATCAGCGAGTGCAGTGCTGAGCGAGCCAAAGAGCCACTTTTAATGTATGCCATCCAGACTTGCAGCAGACAGTTTCATTCTCTCAAACTGATTATCTTGTCACCAGTGACCAATATTTTGACTACTGGTAGTTAGACCAACTGACATCAAAAACTAGCAGTGAGATTGAAACAATATTTCAGTCATTACAGCATTCCAGACATTATGCTACATGACCGTGGCCTTCAATCCATGAGTGAAGAATTCATAGACAATGTGTCATCTCCGGAACATCCTTAGACAAATGGAAAGGCTGAAGTGGCAGTGAAAATTGTCAAAGAACTCGTACAGAAACCCAACAAATTCAGTGACTCATACAGGGTAATAGCGAGTGGAGAAACACACTTACTGAATGATAGGTAGCAGACTAGTACTCTTCCAAGAACAAAAAAAAAACTACTGATGCAAGAATATTAATGGGCATGAGTAAAAAATGCAAGATGAAATGACAGACGGCCAAATTTCCACTTTAATGAAACTGCCAAATTATTTCTAGAGTTGAACATTGGAGAGCCAGTCAGAGGACAATCAATTCTCAACAAGAGTCAGCCCACATAGCATAACATCATGGAATCCCTACAATGTGGAAAGAGGCCATAAGGCCCATTGAGCTTGCACCAACCTTCCAAACAGCCACCCCATCCAGAACCTGACCCCCACTCTAACCCCATAATCTCCCATTTCCCATGTCTAATTTACCTAACCTGCACATCCCTGGTCACTATGGGACAATTTAGCATGGCTAATCCACCTAACTTGCATATCTTTGAATGTGTATCTTGGAATCTGTGTAGAGTATTTGTCACCTCAATTATAAGCAGTGAATGTGAGTGAGCCAATATAAAGTCACATCCACAGACACATAGGGACAACTGGGGAAACTGTTCCTTCACTGCAGACAGCTGATAAGGAAGATGCAATTTCACCATATGCAGAGTGACACCAACAGCTCAAGTTCAATTCCCGTACCAGCTGATGTTACCACAGGAAAGTACAAGTATAGTAGATAGTATGGTTGGGATGGAGGGGATCAATGTTTTTATGAGGGAGATCAAAATTGGCCTCACTAGGTGAAAAGAATAGGACAGGACAGAACAATAGATCCCTACATTACCAAGGGAATAGAAGGGATGCAGTTGAGGTTAAACTCAATCAGCCATGATCTTATTGAATGGCAGAACAGGTTCAAATAGCTAAGTAGCCTATTCTTGTTCATTGTTTGTATGTTTGTATATTAAGAGGAGTGGACTTGAGCCTAGAGCAGCATCCAAGATATTGTCATGTATGGACACAAAGTAATCATAGGAGACTATGAAGTTGGCTTGTAGATAATGTGGAGTTGGTTTGAAATCTAAGCACAGAATCATGTCGCACTTAATCAATCTGGCTGAAGGTCCAGCACATAGATGTTACAGAACACTGAGAACAATGGCTTAGGAGGAGAAGCCTCATGTTAGTCCTTTAAGCTTCTTGCCTGCTGTTTAGAAGAGTATTGAATTTCCTGTGACATCAGAAAGATTTCATGAAATGTGATAGAGTTGGTTTCCAGAACTGCCTTGAGCATTCAGCCAAAGTCATTTGGAGTCAATCTTATTTCCAAACCAGTGATAGAAGCAGAGAAAGTAATATTGATATGGCACAAAAAAATAGATTTATGCTGGGTTATAAATGTTCGTTTCCAAGCAGTTTGAGGTCAAACCTTGTTTGAAGCTTATAGAATAAATTAATGAATTAATCAAGACAAATTACATTAACACTTGAATCAAAAACAAAATAAAATTATGGGCATATATAATAGTGCTTAATTTTACCTACCCCTTTTAACGTTTAACCTGTTCAGCACTGAGCAGCACATGGTCAACATCTTTACAAAACATAACCAAACTGGAATGTCCAAAATCCCCAGTTGACCCCAAGGTCACTTTGGAGATCCCTGACTCCACTCCCTTGTTCTTTGCCCTTAGCACAGCTACAACGCAATAAATAAAGCATGCAAACATGGTTCAACAATTTGTTAAAATATGAAGAAGAATGGATAAATAATTTTGATCACCTATCTGTTTATAAGGTGTTTGTAGCACAGTGCTGGAATTGTTGAATTCTAATGCCCAGGCAGATGAGTAAATATAAAGACTCAATGGCAAGAAACCAATGGCCAGGATTGTGGAGCAGACAGTCATGGCAACACTGAAAAGCAGAAAATGGTTTTTAATTTTAAAACATGAATATTCAATCCCCGAAGGTCACGTTTTGCACTCAGTTGTCAACAAACAAAATGGTCATACCATGCAAACCCAGAACTGGCCTTGGGATGTTGCTTTTTAAAAAAAAAAAAAACAAGTAGCATGAATCATGTGTCTCTTAGAGAACTCAAAGTTAATGCATAAAAGAAACCTATGTTATGCAGCTGGGTTGAGTAAAGAAATTAAAAAAACAAGTCCTAGAGACACTTAACACACTCTCTCTGTGGAACAAGAACGAGACTTAATGTTTCTGGTCCTGTATGACTCTTCTTTGGAGCCCTGAGTTAAGAAATTGTTACACTGGATTTTGAAGTCAGGAGCAATGCATAGTACCAGCAGTTTACAATTGATCTTTTTCTGACAACTCTCTTTTTCTAACACATAATCTTAAACATTTTACATTCTACCAAAGAATTTTAAAAAATAGAAAGGATATTTAATCATTTAACCCACCCAAAAATATCAGGATTGACTTTTGTAAGGTAAGGATATGGAAAGCTATTCAGGACAGGTAGGCCTAGGCAGTTGAAGTACAGATTAGCCATGATCTAATTGGGTGGAGCAGGACCAAGAGACTGAAAGGCCTACTCTCCCCCTCTAAATGTTCCTATATTTACTGAAAAATATCCAATTGTAAATTGTGTAAACTTTTGTGCAGAGCTTCCCTGAAGCATTCATTGTGTTACAATTATATGGTTTACAAACTTGTTATGTTTTGGGACTGTGTCTTTAATGGAAGGAAAAGTGAAAGTGGCCATGTGATCTATTCTGTAGTCTGCCTGGCGATTTGGTTGTTAGAGATTAAACGTGGCCTACATTGTTTTAGTGAGAAAAGTGTGCAAATAGTATACACTAAGCAGCAATGACTGTACACTGTATAAACTGTGGCTAGACAATGAATCTCTAGATTCCCAGAAATCTGTTGAGAATGTCAGATCGTAAACTCTTGTGCTTTAAATTGTTCATTTAGTTATAAGGTGAAAGAGAGGTATGCTTACAAAGGTAAGAAATTTGTATTTCTACGTGGATACAAACCACATTAGATTCATGTTGTCATAGAAATGGGCTTTGAAGGAGAAAGTGTTCATATCTCTAAAAAGTTACAGATGGGTTAATCTACAAGAGTCTGATTGAGACAGAACAACGACAGACCAAATTGTTTCAATGACTTGCCATGCTAGTATGTAGGATGAAGCTTGTGCTAGAACTGGAAAGACAAGTTAAAACAATGCTGGCAGATTCACCTATCTTACACATCGAGGAATATGCACCACAAAGGACAGATTAGTGGTTAAAACTTTATCATGCTCAGAAAAGAACAGAAATATACCCCTGACAACAAGGTGCAGGGCTGGATGAACACAGCAGGCCAAGCAGCATCATATACCCCTAGTTGCTATAAGTCATTTTGACTGATTTCAGAGAATTGAATATTAAAAGACAGTGTAACATGTGTTTCTTCGTGAAATTTGTTAAGTTTTTTTGATTTGGTTGTGCCAAATACAAAAGATATTTTGTTTTCTGTGGCTCAAAGTATAAAGTAACATTTAGATAATAGCAGGTATATCTGCTGCCCTGTCTTTGAAGAAGGCATAATTTCCCAATACATCACAGTCTACTTTTAAGGACTTGATGACATGAATTAAATCAATGCTATGAATATTAAAAAGATAGTTAAAGTCAGCAATTTGAGCATGGAGTAACCTATCATTGGCTGCTGGCATCCAAGATTCCTATATTTCCAGTGCCTGAGACTCCCAGAATATTAAGCACTGATCATCAGAAAAATATTTAAATGAACTATATTTGCACTGTGGATTATCTCACTGATGTATATATGGATTCCCTGATTGACCTTTGGCCCGGTCAGAAATCCCAGGCTCAGCTGGTGTCATTTGCTATTTGCAAAGCAACTCTAGTGGTTGTAGCACTAAAGTAGATGCTTAGCACTGCATCCTCTTGCTGAAACATACGTGGATCAGCTAACATCAAATGTCTCATGCAGTTGTTAATACTCACTGGGTGAGAATGCTGGAAATCAAGTCCTGCTATTTCTGGGTCATTACAGGAGTTAAAGGTTTTATACAGTAAACAAAGTTCCCCAATTTATCAGAATTTCAAATGCAGATTGATAAAAAGCATAGACTGGGTTTCTGTACTTAACCAGAATTACTGCTTGTTACAAGGAGTTAGACTCTAGCTATAGATAAACAATTACAAACCATTGGCATTTAACACTCTTAATTAAATCTCTAATTCCCATATAAATTTGCCTTATACACAGATAGACAGACAGGTAAAAAATGTTATGGGCAGAAAGGAAAAACTGGAAAGGCATCTTAGTAATCTTTGTTTCCAGTTTGTGTGTTGAGATGCTCTTTGTGATTTTTTTTCGGCCAACTCACTACTTAACCTGTCTTTCTTCTGATGCTTCCACTGGTTGCTAAGAGACACAGAGTGGCTGGTTCACTCATAAAAATCTCTGACATGTCCGTTAAAAGTCACAGCTTACAACAACTGTCACAGGCAAGATAAATTAGGTCTTTTTTCAGGCTTACGGTGAGTTTTGGCTACAGAGAACAGGGGGACTGCTCCTTAATTCCTGACTCTCTCTGTAATTTGTTCCTAGCTCCAAGCTGCTCAGTTACCTGGAACCATTCACACAATTGTTATCAGACAGCAAGTCTCAGTCTTTGGTAATAGGTCCATAGACCAATCAAATTCTTATTGCCAACAAAAGCTCCATCTGAACATTGCCCTTGGCCTCAAATATCTAAACTTAAACTTCAATTACTGCTTGTTCAAACAGTAAACAATGCTTGCCATGGGTGTTAGGTTACTTGCTTTTCATAACAGCAGCCACCCTTTCAAACATTGGTATTAAAACAGATCTTTCTCATTTCAGCCCGCGGTTTTTGAAAACACAAAAATAAAAAGACATTGTTGTTACAAAGTTGTCTAGTGTACCAGAATTTAGAACTCATCACCATGATGCCTATTGTCTGCAAATATATATGACTTTGAAGATGATGGATGCAGAACTGGCTGGGATTCCAGTGAATGATGTCTGATCCATAATTGCAATGAAGGGTTTGCACAGAAGGATTTTGGCAAAGGAAGTGTCCATCCTCAGTTCCACTAGAACATTTCAAGAGCTATTACAGGGCAGGAACACAGTAAAATTGGAACTTGGCTCAAATATCCTCCTTCCCAAAATGCTGACCTGGTCATGGAATTTTTACCATTGTTTCGTAATTATCAACATTGTCAGGTAAACCTGTTGGGCAGTTTCTATACCTGTGAACATCCAATAATGTGGTGTAATGAGAAAAGCTATTTTATGTTACCTTCTCTATTCAGACTTAAAAGGAGCATTAAAATGTTGTGGTTCTTTTCTTTCATAAATATCTAATTTTTAAATAATGAATGCAAATATTACAAACATTGGACCAAAGAAAGAATTTTACTATGAATGCTACATGAGTGTTTAAAAATTAATCTGTAATGGATTCATGAATAGCCCAGATTATGCATTGGTAACAATTGTGAAGTCCATAAAATATAGGAGAAGAAGTAGGCCATTCATTGAGATCATGGATTATTTGTTAATTCTCAATTCTACTTTCCTGCCTTTTCCCCATAATCCTTTCTTCCTATAATGTTCGAAAATATGTCTATCGCAGCCCTGAATATTCTTAATGATCCGGCTTCAATGGTCCTCCACAGTAAAGGATTCCACACCTTTGGAGAGAAGAAATTCCTCCTCATTTCTGCCTTAAATGTGTAATCCTTTATTCCGAAATTATGCCGTCTGGTCCTAGACTCTCCCACAAGGGCAAACAACATTCCTACAAGGTCTACCTTGTCAAAGGCCCTAAAAGTCTTGTATTCCTCAACTAGGCTGCCTGTCATTCTTCCAGGCTATACAGTCAGTGTTCATCTTACTGTACTGAAACTGAAAGCAACTTCTGGGGTCCCCAGACACACAGAAAAGCTTGGAAATCCAGATCATTCTATTAGTGATTTTTTGCTTGTGTAGAGGCTATGTCATTGTGCCTATTCCACAAAGACTGCAATCAATGGAAATCTATAAATTGACAAGAACTGTTAATCTCACTGTAAAACCCTTCCATGAGTCACAACTTGCTGAATGAGGTGTAATTGCATTTATAACAGTAAACCAACATCATAATTACTGCTAAGTAGCATCACTGGTCCTGAAAGCCATATTTTATATTTATGGAATAGTGCATTTCTCTCTAATGATGAAATAAATTCACAGAATCACAGAGGGAATTTGATTATTATATGAAAAGGAACAACATGTGTGACAAACGCAGAGAGAAGATTGGAGTAGCATGATGCAAATTGTGCCTTTGATGAGCCAGCACAAATATGGCAGGCCAAATTCCCCATTTTCTATGATGTAAAAATTCTGTGATTCTGTAACATAGCTGAAAACCAGTTTTTTTTCCAATTGTGTTAATCTATTTTTAGTTTTAAGTTTCAATCTTTGTTCAATCTATTATATTACCAAATATTTAAATTAAAAATGAACTTTTAATAATTTTAACTTTTTGGTTTGCAATCTGTGAACAGTTCAATATGATTGACTGCTTACCGACATGGCTGCTGCTGCATGCCAACCCATCATTTGCTTTGGTAACAGATTTAAATGGTCATCAGGAAAGGGGAAAGGTCCACCAAAGAGATCACTAGATCTTAGTGGAATCTTTCTCGGGAATCAGCAGCAAGCATTATTGTTTTGCATTTGACCAGAAAATACAGCCCACTTTGCTTCTGTCAGTTCTATGCCTTACTAAAGCTGATTTATAGATTTTCTGAGTTCTTGCTTTCACCAAGGCACTTATCATGCCATGAGAGCATAGTTAAAAAAGGCAGGCCATACTTTATGATTTTCCAATGAATGCTGGCTGCACAGAA